CCCTACATAACATGTTAAACATTTGCAGGAAGACGGAAGGATCGAATCGCCGAACACCCTGAGTACGAGGTCAACATGTTTTCCCCGGTTTTGGATATCACGGATTGCCCTAAGCAGTCGAGATCATCTTGAGCCACTACCACTAGGTCTTCAAGTTGCTATCACCTAACCTATACGTGTCATATGTCGTGTGGCGTACATGTACTATTTTGCACTTACCTGCCTTAAACGCGAGTAGGTTAGCCTTAGAGTATTCAAATGCATCGTTTAGGTCTTGTTGCAACAAATCGTGTTCTTACTGCTTACGGATCGTCAGTAATATCTTCCTGTCATCTGCAAATTTGCTTGAAATTTGACTCGATGACACTCATTCCACCACAATCGGATAAGATAGTGAGCCCCAGACTCGAGCATGCAGACGCTGAAAAAGACAGTTTCCGATCTATCAACGTACAGGATTCCCAGTTCCAGACGTTTGTAGCTTACGGAAACGAATACAGTGATCTTTGCGGTCGAAGGCTCTGGAAAAGTCTCGACAGATGACACCGGTTTTGGTCCCACTATCCTTTGTTTGGTCAAATTGCCGCGCGGGATGAGTAGGTTGGTTGTAGATAGTTTTAGCTACCAAACTGTGGGTGTGCATAGAAACTCAACTATTTTTCATATGCAACGCCTATTCTACTGCGGATGTATTACCGGGCACGTTACCAAACGTCAATCGTCAGTCATCAAGATAGCTTGCTCGATAGTCTCGTCTACGTTTGCGCGCAATTAAAATTTATAAGATGCATTTAGTATGTCTATCACTTCCAACACTGCATTGCACTTCCCGTTTCGTATTCATTTACACCCAACAGGCAGAAATAGCAGGATTGCGTCTCTCTCTACTCGGGACCATTGGGATGTTTGCCGAACCCTCTATTTCTAAGCCACCAAATCGCAGCATGCAACACTTGTCACAGCAGTCAATGACTGGTTGGATGGGTCATTTGATTTTCTCAAATCTCAATGCACTGTCATATACTATCTGTGCTAGAGAAGGTAACATTACTGGGAAAACGCATTTTTTCGAGAGAAAACGAATCGAACCGTCAGTTTATAGCCGAAACGTAAAGTCGTTTCGATATTCTCGTCCATCACGTGACGTGCTTACCTACTGATTGATCTAACCGAACTGAACTGCTAATCCTGACAGCCGACCTGGCCGTTCTGGAACGCGAGCACTTCTGAGTTCTTACGCAAATATCCGTTGTCTTCACACTACTAGGGCCTGTTTCGGTAACTGTTCTTTAAACATGCTTTTGCTTCAAAACGTTGACTTGGACCTTACGGGAAGGAGATCTTTTCGACTGAAATCGCATGTAAGGGAAACAAAGTGCTAATCAACATACCTATTTCAATTTCTCAATGCTTAAGAGTTTGAAGATCCACATCTTCACGATTTCTTGAGATTGATCTCAGTTCAGCTACTGTGTCGTTGATGGAGATAGATCACTATTCTGACTGTAGTTGTGCCACAATCCTTGCATTGGCTAATTTACCGAAGTTTATCAGGGCCGAATTGATCATCCGGCTTTGTTTCATGAGAGTCTTAGGTCGTCCTGATATTTAACCCAACAATCCCCGTCCTAGTGCAGTTTACTGAATAACCTTTTCAAGTCAACTGGACCCTGCCCAAATCCACATTCTGGCTTATTTGAACTTCATATCAGTGTACATTCCATGGTAAATATAACGCGAGTCCTTTATCGGTATTCATCCAACATCCGGATCACTCTCGATTTCAATTCTGACCCCAGCTTTGTCGTCGGATGCATCGTTTGGCCTGCCTATCTATTGCTTGACCACAAAAAATCTTTAAGCAGTCTACTGTCATCTAAGCACTTCTGTTCGTTTAACCAGCTCGCTTTCATGCGTTTCGCTGTGATACGCAATACCTGCAATCAGCATGAAAATTACTAATTGCTCGATTAAAAGTAACCCATCATCAGATTACGGTGACCACTATCATTGGCGCTACCAACCTCGCGTTTCCACATTCTGGATGAAGCCAGTCCGAGATTGATTTCATCCCACCTAAATAGACTGAAAGTTTTGAAAATTCATGGATGGAGAATGGCCCACGTCTGCCATTGTTGAGCGAAAACGAGGAAATGATGGTGGAAAAATGAATCTATATAGTAAATTTTCGGGTCACTTTCAAGATTTCACAAAACAATAAACAAGTTGCTCACACTCCAAGCAACCCTGGCGTTTCCTGCTGCTGTCTGTGTGTAACCTTTACTAGTGTTTTCAGTCTTCTGAACAAGCACGATGAACTCTGGCGTTTATTCGCTTCTGCGGGGCTAGACGTAATGAGACTCGCAGATACTTTGCTGAATTCTGGGGAAATTGCCCAAGAAATCAAGCTCAGTAACTACTCGTGCTTCCACTACAATAAACTCTACTGTTTGCGATGACGTCTTGCTCTACATCTGCTCTTTGTGTGGGTGCCTTGTGTACGTCTACAGAAACGACGGTGGCCTGTGTGAGTAGCTGTGGTACTCGATCCACCTCAGACGTTGGGACCTGCTCGTGGCTTCAGTTTATCGCAGTCCCCTGAGCCGTCGTTTGAATTGGCCACCACATATTCAATGCTACAGGCGTCATCCCCATTTTCCACCCATGGGTAATTTCAGTTGTCCGCGAATACGCTGGCCTGAAGTCCAACTCATCCTGAGGTCGAAACAATATTCCCGCGGATTTAGTACTTTAAAGTAGAGCAGCGCAGATGGTCTGCCAGTGCTAGAGGGCTCAGACAGACAGCCCCTTAACCTTCAACATTGAGCGTGCGTCCGCCTTGGCAGTGCAGTTCGCTTCCGTGTTTGCAGATGACCAGGTGTCTGTACCAAGTTCGACCGAATTCCACAGTCTGGTTTACGGTGTTGAAGAGGTTCATCAACTACTCGCCAACCTTGACGGCACCAAACCTGCTGGCCTTGACGGACTCCCCCACCTATTCTCATATCCTCATCGGCTATCATCTCACCTGCAGTGACATTCTTGTTCAACGGGTTATTGTCCGAATGTTCATTGCCGATTGACCGGAAATACTCGGTTGTAAGACCGATTCCGAAAGGCGGTGACCCCAGCAACATAGACAATTACAGACCGATTTGTCTTACACCTATATTTGGCCGAGATTGTCGAGTGGATAGTGAAGAAGGGTCTACTGTACCTGCTCCAATCTTAACATCTACTGACGCTCCCACTGCACGGTTTTATGGTGAGCAGCTGATGCATTACCAACTTGCTGGTGACGATGCATGAATGGTTGCAGGCAGTGAACCGGGAGAAGTCTGTAGAAGTAAGCTACATCGATTTCTGCAAAATGTTAGACAACGGAAACCATTGGCTCCTCTTCTACAAGATGAGAATATGCGATGTCGGTGGATCACTGCAGCAGGGAGTCCAGTACTTTCTCGTTGGACGAAAGTGGGGATACAGGTCGACGGCCATCGTACCGGCTGGTATCCCTCTACTAGTGGCGTGCCTCAAGGCACTGTGCTGGGGTCCACTCTTCTTCCTTCGGTTGCCGTGTTCTCTGGTTTAGATGACCTGAAGATTTACCGGGTGATTAACACCCGAGACGAATGTGACCTACTTCAACAAAACTTCTAGTACTTCTCCATGTCGTCTGCGGTTGTCCACCTCCCGATTAACCCATTCAAGTCTATCCACGAGTCTAGGCAATAATGGTGACGGCTACGCTTACACGTGGACGGCCAACCGCTATATCCCACGCCTTTTTTGAAGGACCTAAGTGTATTCTCGAGCTGTAATTTGAACTCTTGGACAACCTAAGGGACTGTGCCGTAACGGAATGTGCTTGCTTTGGGCACTCAAACGCAGCTTCTGTACCTGGTCTGAAGGGGTCGGTACCCGCCTCTTCCACCAAAACTGGAGTTACGAATCAACCGCCTACTGCTAAATCACCGGAGGCGAGGCACAGAAGATCGAATAGCTGCAGCACCTCGCTACCAGACTCATTCTGAGTTTACGTGGATTGCGGTATGAAGACCCGTGCGAAAAATTAACCCTCTGCGCATTGTCCGATCGTTGGCAACGAGTTGGTCTCATCGTGACCCACCGCATGTTACATCTCGGTGACTTTCACATGCTGACACCGCTGCCTCACTTGCGAATGCTATGCAGCACACGTGGACACCGGTAAAAGCTTGCGTTGCCGGATATAAAGCGAATTCCCCACTCCTGCGTTCCGAACAGAGTGGTAAATGTTTGGAACATTCGGCCAGATCAAGTTGGGACAAAAGCTGTGCGTGAGTTCAGAACTTTGTTGGATTAATGTTTCACCGCCATTCAGTTGGGAGAACGATTACACACTGGCAGTGACATGTTATATTTGTGAGGAATTCAGACATATTTAAATGCTACATAACGATCTGAGTCATAACAAGTGGTGTATACGTTTTATGATATTCTGGTGGAGCTGTACGGATTTAGGTTTCTACTTACTCTCGCAATACAGCACTCAGTAGTTACTGATGACCCCAATCCGAAACCCCGTATACGTCCCAGTGGTAGCCGGTGGCCAGTGACCGAAATGATTTCGCGCTTGCCTTGTACTACTTTGATCACCGGTTAGAATCTGTGTAAGGGCGAGCAGGCTAACACGACCGATAGTCGTTGCGTAGCAGCGAAGCGTCATTGCGGTATGCCGGCATACTGCTGACTTCCTGTATGTGGTAGCAATAAATGTTTCTTGATTCCATCGTCAATGGTGTTGGTCAAGTACATTTTGAGAACTGCTGTGTCTCTATTGTGCTCAAAATTTCCCTTTATATGGAGTACATTCGAACATTTCTTCGTTTGATCTGTATCAATGCGCTTTTATTTCGCAACTGCGTCATGTTTTTGTGTCATTTGTTGTTGTGCTACCTGATTGTTTGCAGAATGTCTTCATCCAATCGATCAGTTACTCTTTGTAATTCTATTCCTAGACTCTTCAGGGACTGCATTATCTTCATACGAAGTGTCAGATCATTCACACAGATATCAAACCGGAGAACATCCTTGTTTGTGTATCGAATTCACAAATCCGGCGGATGGCAGCCGAAGCGTTAGATGCACAAAGACGCGGTGTGCAATTGTCGGGGTCCGCCGGTATGCTCTAAATTTTTTGTGGGATTCACTGTATTCTTATATCGATTGTTGTCGCCTCTGACCTTACGATTACTTTGAGGTTCCTTCCCCTTTCTGAACTCGGGCTTGATATTGGCGATCGTGCTAGCTTCCTACTTGACCACTTTTTTTCTTTCTAGTTACATATATATGTTAGAAATGTGGCTACCGTATAACCACAGTTGTTTAGGAACTTCTATGCCCCCTTTGAAGTGCTCTGCTCTTATCCTACCTTGTCCATTTTGCAAAACCTTATCGTCTCATTCCACTTTCGCTTCGCACATTTTTCTTATGGAGTTGGTTTACTACTTCCCATTTAGGTCTTCAGTGTTCGTTATTATATATGACTTTAAGGGAATTGTGTTGCGGTTTTGCATACAACTAATTTTAGTCCCTCAGGCCATTTTATTTCAGCTTCCTAGGCTGTTTGTCTTTCGTATAAATCCAGTTTGTGCTCTTATCGCTTCTGCTTATTTCAGTTTATCTCAGTCATTGGGAGTCTATGTGTCGTCCATTTTTCTAACGGAGGGGATGTAGCAGCACCAGTTTTAAGTTGTGAAACAGGCAACTATTTGATCGAACCTAATGCGAATATGTTTCCATACGCAATGCCATTAAGTTTCCAATCTGTGGCACGTAGAATTTGTAAAATTGTCATCCTGCATTCCCCACGCTTTTGGTTGGGCTGATTTTTTCCAACATCCGGTTGATTTGACGCTGGTTTGTTAACGTTTCAGGTGTACGAATAGCCGGGGAACAGTGGCTGTGTGAACCCACATTTGGACCCTATTCAGATGCTATTGAATGCACTAAGATCGAACACGGTGTTTTGTGTGCGCTGAGCTCCTTTGGCGAATTGTTAAACTGTACCCGCATGTATGCGAACATCCGCTAGGCACTTAACTTATAGAAAACTTTTGACAACACAAGCGCACATGCGATTGCATGAAATCTTGATCGTTCTCCAAATATGGGAGATGACACCATTGGTCATCAGGTTGTTGCTAACAATGTGAAAAACCGCCTCACTCCCCTTTAAATTACTGGCGGGTGAGCACCATAATTTCCAGATGATAAGGACGCCTGCCCATAGCAGCCTTCGGAGCCTGTGCTCTTGTCAGTAGCCAGGAACAGGTTGTCCCTGACGGAGCCTTCAGCTTATTGGCCAGCCAGTGAGAGCAAGTCAATGAAGGCTACCAATGAAAATGATCTGTCTTAAAGCCTGCCAGTGAGCGCATTATTTCCGAAACCGCAAGTGCATTATCAGGCAAGTAGTAGTTGTTTAACTCCAGGAACTTCCATCTAGGTCATTCTTTTATGAGATATTTATTTGACTCCATTATTTTCTTGTATATACTGGTTGCCATGTATTCACTGTAGGGGCCTTTGTCTTCTGCTCTGAGAAGTTGGCCGATCCAGCTAGCATAGTAACAGCAGGCTATCCGTACAGTCAGCGGAAATCACAATGCCACTTTATGTACTACAGTTTTTTGAGTTTTTGCGCATATAGCCTACTAACATAATACTGTCTTGCAGATAGGTTGAACGTACCCAGCCATTAAAAGTTGAACTTGATAAAGAATTTATCCATCGTAACCATTTAACTGCTAGTACTTATACCAGAAAGATGCTTCACGTCATCTCTGGCTGCCTTAAGCCACTGCAATTTTTAAACTGGTTTTGTTATTTAGGCTTTCTTTGCCAAATTTGGAGTTTAACGGTGGTTAACCATCCCGCATGTTTATTACAGTCCTTTCATTCGCAGTTATTTAAGCTCCATTGATGATAATCTGTCTACTCGTAAGTAGGTCGTTTTACAGGGTAACACTTGTCGAAGTGATAATCATACTAAGTAAAATGCTCACGTTGAACCGACGGTTCATCACAAAAAGCTGCAAAATCAATTGAGATAGTTGTCGATTTAGCATCGCAAAATTTTCTGTTAAGCAGTTTTGCCTCTTAATGCAATTAAAAAGCCGTTTTGTCAGTACCGCATAACTGGTTTCGCTGCATCTTTGCGCATCGAAAGTGCACTTTTGTACATAATATAACTACTGCCCATCGATTGTGGTTTGGAGGATCACTAAATCACCAAATCAAGTGTCGCGTCACTCACTGAATTCGCTTGCTGCTTTCAACCATCTTTGGCAGGCGTTAGAGATAACAACTCAGCCACCATTCTGGGGATTTCTAGACTACTAGACATTATGGTATGACAGTCACCGAGTTGATTGTCTCCATTCTCTACCACAATCGAATCAGCGGTCTTACTTTGCTGTCAGCTGGATAACGATCGATAACACTTCGCTAACCAGCGCGTTCTGATTCAATTTTAATCTTTTTGATTATTTTTCGATGACGCCTCTCCATTTCTGACTGTAACCAACAAAAACTGAAATGTTAGGTGTTACCCTGACACGTCATGCAACATTGACGGAATTAGATAACAATACTGATAGCAGTACCGCTTTGCAACCTCAGTAATATACCGGCAAACCGACATTTCGATGAATACGATTTCCGAGCTCAAAGCCTCATCACTGGTTTGCAATTTGGATCCATCACATTGTCCTGTGATGTCCTGTGATCCACATAAGGCGCTGAAATTCCGTGCTTCTCATGTAAAGGTTACTTCTTCATTTCCTTTTTCAAGATATCGGTCACCGTTTTGTGTACGGGAAACTGATGCTAGAACGACCTACAAGTACTTCGGTCAGCGTCGCACTTGGGCGTACATGTCACCACAACATCTTACGACGTCCGCATTTGTCTTCACATACATATGCGGATTGAGCGCTGCTACTGTCATTTGGTGCGTACATTGAAGTCACATAAGGGCACTTCTATGGTGTTCTCAAGTTGTACTTCATAACTGAGGCTACTCACCAGGTTCTCATCCAGCGATTCACCTTCGGAATTTCCGCTAAGGGCAATGCAGATTTCGCAAACACTTCAACTCCTTACTGCAATGGACTCTAAGGGTGTAATCACTGTCGACTCATTTTGAATTAGTTAATCGACGGTTCATCGCAACTCGACAACCTCGTAATCGTGTTTCAGATGCATAGCAGGCATCGCGGGTATGAACAGTCAAGGTTAGTGCCTCCTGACAGATCTAACTTGGAATGCAAATGTTGGCTGACCAAATGTGAACTGGGAATTTTTATACATGGTTAACACTCGTTTTGAATACAGTAGTTGTTTTCAACTAGTTGATCTGAGTAGATCGGATTTGAAGGGCGGAAAGGAACATATAATGTTAGTAGTATAGGCAGGTCCGTTTTGTGAGCAGACGCCCCCGGTCAGTCATTCCAAGAGTAACATTCCACTCTACTGCTTTCATCCACGTTCGCCAATTGCCGAGGTTGAAGAGTTCCATTGCGATTTACTTTAAGCATGCCGCGTACAGTATCAGACGAGTCAAATTGCTTCTCGTGTATTTTTCTACCGTTGTATACCATGCACTTGCAACTGCTTTTAGTCGCGCATTGGTTCTGGGGGGTTTTAATATTTTCGACGGTGGTCTACCTGACCTAACCGGTTGATACCAGACCAATGTGAGAGATTGTTACGCTCATCCTTTAAAGCATACTGCAGCAATCGTACTGTACGCCGATCGCTCTGCCTTTTTCATGGCTAGGTTTCATTAGAAGAAAGCCATCAACATCTCCATATAGCTTCCACGGTATGTTGCCGAAACCTGCTTTGTCTGATCTTTTACAGTTAATCTGCTTGAAATCAGTTGCTCTAATGCCACTCGAAAGGTATCATCCAGCGTGCCCCATTGAGTCACCCCACCACATTTATACCCAGCCCTCACGATGCCGATCCCTTTTTCACGCCTTAACAAAGAGGCTACTTCAGCCACTAGTATTGTGCCGTCCTCTTTCAATAGCAATTTCTGGTCTTCGAGATCGTCGTCACTATTTCGCATTGGCACTCATAATATCAACGTTCTAGCCAAATCAAATTTTCTACCTTGGGCGTTGTATGTTATGAGAAGAGATGGCTTTGGGTTCCGTTTGTACAATGCTTGTTAGATGATTCCTATCGGTTTTTTGTCCTCCCATGTTCGCAAAACTTTCGCTTCATGCCGACGACGTCGTGGATTTCCGTCTTTGTTTTGTTCGATGTGCGCTAGTTACTCCTTGTGTGATTGCATTGGTTTCAGACCCCAATTTTCTGAAAAGCTCTGTTACTTTTTTAGATTATTATTTTAGTTTCAAGTAGGAGGACCAATATGTTCTACCGTCCGCTTGCTATGGTTACTGTCGCTACGAGAAGTTTCTTGGACTTCTGGGTGCACGCGGAAATGATTTCCGACACATCACCCTTACTCACTCAATGTTGCGGATCACCTCGTTGTCTTGTTAATTCGGTATTCGTTTTTTATTGCCAATAACAAGTCAACTTTCTCTCACCAAGCTGATTAAATTCAAACTTTCTCTCAGGCGAGACAGCTGGCTAAGTTTATTAATATTTTTCTTAGCGTTCTTCGTCCTTCAGCTGGATTACTGCACTTTCCTTTGTTTTCTACGTGTGATGAAACCCAGGCTAGGCACTTTGCTCCTCGTCGTTGATGATGCCATTTTCTCAAAACCATCACTTACATTTGATGCAACCACTTTTTTCGACACTTTAGTAAGTACTGCTCCAAAGGAAAAAGAGCGCGAAAGCACAAAAATGACTAAAAGTCGGAAACGTCGTCTGCGTCGTCAGCAACGGAAACAGCAAGCCTTACTGGAGCAGGAACTTGATGAACTGGAAGAGTTGGAAACCCAGGAGCACCAACGCAGGTTGCTCGATATGGGTATACAACCAGAAGGAGACAAACAGGATTTTGACTACGCCAAAAACAATAAAGAGGAACTGCAAAACTGTAATGAAGCACCATCATTCGAAGTTTTAAGCTCTTCACAAATGAATCTCCTTGAACTTTCATCCAAGGCTATCAACGATGGTGAGTTAAGGCCATGAATGCCTCCGGTGTCGATGTACTTTTTCAATTTCCCCTTCGATGCATTCTTTAGCATTGCTTATCACTGTCATTCATCAGGGACTCATGTTAATGTTTTTTTTAGTTTTGACCTGATAAACCTATTCATCAACACTATACACCTGCTGATTCTGTATGCGGGAAAAGGGTAAAATAAGTCTAGATTGGTCGTTCTCAACGGCTTCTCAGCTTTTTCCAGCGTTAACAATCTAAAGCTTTGGTTCGGAATATTCACGCAAGATCGCGAGTGTTATTACCGAGGTAACAGTTTCTATTTACCTTTTGTTGGCTGCAAATAGATACAAACACTTACACCTGCCGAATGGCCATAGTTGCGCTAATTTTCCTGAACCATTGCCTACATAATTGGTATTTAGTAAGAGTTCGAAGGGAAGAAACTAATTGGCATGGCAGCGAAATCACTATCGGTCCATTATCGGCTCTGAAGCGCATTCATATTTATGTACTTTGATACACACTGTCTTAAAAGCAATGTTAATAACTCAGTTTGTCCAGTAAGTGCCGATCCGTTCACTGAGCTTAACCATTTTGTTACCTGTGTTCGGCCATCAGTCTTACTGCAATCATCAGTGCATCGGTGACGAAACAGGGGTTTTTGCGCTCGATCGCTTCGGAACGGCCTTCAACAGCCGCCGAAGTGAATCAGAACTCGGTACTTGTGATTTGCTTCTGTTCCTCAGGAGTGTACGTAGGAGGAAATAACCATTGATGGGGTAATGATGTGACGTATGATCTAACTGCCCTAAACAACATTCAGTCTGCACTATTTGATCGTCGTATCAAGTCACATATTCACGCACCGGCAGGGATGGGAACTGTGTGCTCACTACGGGCTAGGCCGTAGCTCGTTTCACCTTGTGACCTGCACGAACTCGCCGTACCCATAACAACTGTCGTCTGTGGTCGTTTTGTGAATGCTGTTCGCAGTTAGAGCATCATGAAACTATTAGGCATCCTGACAACATTCACATTACATGCAACCAGTACTTCATCCACATCTTACAGCCCAGTTCGTGCTTTGGAGAAACCAGTTTTCTTTTGTGATTGCACATCCCAGAGTCCCTTTAACTTCTCCGGCGTTGCTTAAGTCACACAGGAACACTGATGGACGATGTAGTTTTGCTATCCATTTATGCCGATCACTCAGCCACCGTCTACTAACCATCTTTCCGATCGGCTGAGGTTGAACTTAATTTCTGGCGCCGTCAAATCAGCTTCACTCAGCTCACCTAATTTCTGTCAACATGTAGTTCTTTTTTCGCATCTGCAGTCACTTCAACTGTATGACGTCATTCGACTCACATAGGCTTTCGTTCATTTCTCTTCCTCCTCTGTGATTCTTCACGCTATACTGGAACTTCATCTCATATTCGTCGAAGTTATGCTAATGGAATAGTTATAGCTTTCTGGTATATCCCTAGCCGATATACCTACTACTACTAGGTTCCGGCAATCAAATAACTTTTCTCCCACACCCATTGTCGCAATTGTCGTAGTCTGCATACTCTAGCTCGTAGATTTTCGATTATTTTTTCATTCCCGCCATTAATTTGGGATCCGGTTAAATTCGCACTTTTGTGATCTTACAGAAGTGTACAGCGCTGCCGGTTTTATTGTTTTTTTTAAATCTTTCTATTCACCTAAATGAGCTTGGTCTACATGTGTTGTGACGCTCTTCTGTTGATAAACAACAGTCGTCCGCAAGGAATACCTCATCTTTTCGGAAATTATAATCGGTATATGTATATACCAGTTATATATATATATATATATATATATATATATATATATGTCCGGGCGAGTCTATGGATTGCTGAGGCTGGCGGTGGCTAGATTCTGACGGATGGTCCACCCACTGCTGCTAATATTGTGTCTTGGGCTCATGTTCTGGACACGTTCGTGGCGACCGCTGGGTGGGAGTTGGGTTACGCCGTTCTCCCTGCGAAGATCCAGGACACCGATCCGCATGAACCAGTGGAATGACTATTGCTAGAATTCCTGCCTTTCGGGTACACACATAATCGAAGCTTTGGCTGAGGACCCAAGTCGTTCTCTTGTCAGGTATGGATGTCATGCCAGTATCCTAGTCCATCCTCTTCGGAGGTTAGGAAGTGGTCGATGGCTGTCTTCACGTAAAACCTAGGCATGGGAGACAACAGGTCTACCGGTTATAAGCTCACAGCTCGATTAGCGTAGAGCACATGTGCAACGCATTATCTCTGACGGTGGGTGGGCACCTCCGGGTGTTCAATGGTTTGCCACTGCTCGCCAGGCAGACCCTGATCAAATTAGTGCAAACCCGCCAAAACCCTTCTGCCTCTGGCCGTGGTCGCAGGTGCACAACCTACTATGGTAGCAAAACATATGAATTGTTCCGGATGTCCATAGGCTGCGTGTGATGGACCTCAAGCAGATTCTGATTTCTCTGCAATCACATTCCCGAGGTGGATCTGCTCCGCGCTGCCTTGTGGGTCAGGCTATTAAGCCAAATGCTCCGAAGGGATTCCCTTAAGCAAACCTCCAAATCACTCACTGCCTTGTGGATCAGACTATGGAGCCAAAGCCTCCGCGTGGAGTCCCTCAAGCAAACCTCCGAAGCACAACCGCCACCTCGCGTGCGATTGCCCACCAATGCAATCGTATGCCTGCGCGCAATGCACTCAGCATCGGGTGCTGGAACGTGCGCACACTACTGGACCGGAACTCGAGTGAACGCTCCGAGCGATGGAACTGGTGCGCTACCATATCGATATTACGGCGCACAGTGAGACTCGGCTCGCTGAGCAAGGTATTTGCATGAAGCAGGTGCTGGCTACACATTCCACTGGGTGGGCAACGACGCCTCATCACCACGTGAACATGGGGTGGGATTTGTAATATCCGATCACCTAAATAGCTAGCTGGTGGGTGAACCAACAGGCATCGGCACGCGACTGATGACTGCTCGCCTACGACTCGGAAGGCGTAAGTGTGTCACTTTTATTAGCATGTACGGCCCGACCATATGTTATTCTGATGACACGCGTGCTCAGCTCTACACTCAGTTATCCTCCGTGATACAGTCAGTGCCGAGAAGCGACCGACTATTTCTTCTGGGTGATTTCAACGCGCGCGTTGGACGTGGTGCATCGGTTTTGTCAGACGTTATCCGTCTGCATGGCACTGGTTCAGCGAATGCGATCGGTGACAGGCTGCTCTCACTGCGTACCACTGACGGCCTGACGATCGCAAACACGGATATATATATATATATATATATATATATATATATATATATATATATATATATATATATATATATAGTCGATTCCGGTTAATCGGACCACATCGGGACCCGACCATTTTGGTCCTATTAAGCGGCTGGTCCGATTAACCGAAGTTACCAGATGTAACAAGATGGGACGTGCTATACATAACATAGGAAACTACTATTATGACCTGTATTGGCGGCATATCTTTATAGTAAACACACAAAAAAGAACTGCTTTGATAACGAACTTTGTTCATTGAAAAAGAAATTTACAAACAAATTCTTCGTAACGACCTACAAGATATTCAGCATGCGAAGTATAGTTTTATACAAAGGGATTACCGAATTCCATTCAGCGTTTGAAGACCGTATTCAGTGTGGTTTGACGCATTCTTTTAACAGACTTCATTCGCACAAAATCACCACAAACATGTAACGCAGTAATAGGACTACCTTCATTTCCTTCCTGCATGAAATAGCGGTACAATGTTTCAATGCATCTCCTTGCATCCTGTTTTGTGACTGGCATCAACACGTTAGGGTTCTCTTCATCACTTCCATGGTCTTCTGTTGATATCGTGTGTTTCGCTGCTATTCGATCAACAATGGCAGCATCGCATTCTCCATTTCCATCATAGAGTTGAAGTTCGTTGTCGATTGACAAAAATTCTTCGTAATTTTCAACTTGTTTCAGCTCCACATTCTCGCCGTTATTTTCATTTACAATCACCATATTCACATCCATCTCCGAGACAATATGCTTAAAGCCACAGTGGGAAAAACAGTTACGAATTGTCGCACTGCTCATTTTTTGCCAACTCTCGGCCACGCATGTAACGGCTTGCAAAATGTTGACCTTTGCACTGATTTCTCCGGCAGTCGAGGATGAGGTCAGCAAGCCTCCCTCAATTGATTCAAGGATGCAATTCACCAACCTTGAACGATAAAAGGTCAACTTTTTTATGATGTCCATGTCCATTGCCTGTATCAAAGATGTGGTCTTGGCAGTCAGAAATTCCATCTGGATATTTTTCAAGAAATCCAAATTTGAATGTGCTGCACAATTGTCGAGAAGTAATAACACTTTTCTCGCCTGGCGTTGTAGCTCTGTGTCCCAATCCTTCACCCATTCTTTAAAAAGTGTAGAGCTCATCCATGCATTTCAGTTCGCACGATACACAACTGGCAAACTGTCCATTCTGAGTCCCTTAAAGCAGCGAGGCTTGGCACATTTTCCTATAACCAGTCTGTCTGTTCCGGACATGTTTGAGCAGCACAAGACAGTTACGCGATCCATTGCTTTTTTGCAGCCAGAGAGAGCAACATGTTTGTAACTAAAGGAGCCGTCCGGTGTAGCCCTATAGTACAACCCGGTTCCATCAGCATTATAGGTGTCATCTGCTGGAAATTTTTCAAGAAGCTCTGGTACTTTTGTTGATTTCCATTCTTCAGCTCGGATTACCGTAATTGAATGATATTCTTTCTTGCCCGACATATGAACTGTGGGTTTAGTCCAGACATCCAGGCACAGAACTTGATTTTAACACCTCTGTTACCTGCCACTTTCTATCGTCTGGTCCGATTAAGCGGAATTCCGGTCCTAATAAGCGACTAAAATTAGGCTAGCCTAATAGGATTCGTTTCGGTTCTTCAGAATTTGGCCCGAATAAGCGGCTGGTCCTATTAACCGGTGGTCCTATTAACCGGAATCCACTGTATATGTTTACAGTTTTTACCTTAATGCTTTTCTTTCTCATATAAATATCTCCCTATACTCTATTCTATTAACTTGCACACCTCGCTTAAGCCAATTGTATTCGATTTCCATAACATTTTTGCGTTCGTGGCGTTCCGTAAACTATACTTCCGGACCTCGTGCACTCAGCTAGGATTTGTTTGCAAACAACTTATTACATATGCTCATTAACTTAAGGTTTATATCACCGTTTCCTTATGCACTAATCGAGTTTTTCTCTTTTTCTTTCTCTCTTTCAAGTGTTTGGCTGTTGTTTGATATCCCCGGTGTGGATGTGCTTGATGTGCATGTTGACAAGGTGCCTACCTGTCTGTTACCTACTACCTCGTCCATACTGGCTCCAGGAGACAGTTGGTCGTTGCTGGAGGGGACAGGGTGCACGGTCCTTGTGGCCGTGTTAGGATCAAAGAATGGTTCCATGCACTCAGTGTGGAGCGGACTACGGTCCAGCCACCGCCTTGTGTGCGCTTGATTCCCCAAATACAGTGTGCTTGTGTTTGCCTGTGAAGGAGTGTGGGCTGGATCCGTTGATGAAACGTGGTTCCCATCCGCATTCCTCCCGGTCTTATTCCTTCGGGTTTACACTGGATATGTGGTGTGTGGTTTGAGCTGTGGGTGGTGCAGCGCAAGCCATCCATGGTCCCTCTGTAGGCGCAGGCGTCCTGTGGCTTGCCAGAGTGACAGGCAAATCCGAAACCGGATGCCGCCAACCGTATATATATTCTGAGTCCCTATTTTAGGTAGTGGGTTTGCTTTATTGTGCTTATGCCTTTTTTATCCCATATTAATGTCTACCTGAACTATCTTTTGACTTTCACACAGCCTAAACTAATTTTTTCAAGTTATGTTTTCTGACGTCTTGAACTTATCGCGGAATTGTTGTCAACCAATTTATTTCATATGCTTATTTATTGAAGAGTTATGTCAGTATATCTGTAAGCATTATTCGTTTTACTTTATTTGTTATTGTCGTCTCTGTTGATTGGTTGTTGGTTGATGCCCCCGGTGTGGTTACGCTTGATGTGCATGTTGACAAGTTGCCTATCTGTCTAGTACACACTATCTCGTCCATACTGGCTCCAGGAGACAGTTAGTCGTTGCTTGAGCGGACGGGGTGTGTAGTCCTTCTGGTTGTGCTAGTCTCGAAGATTGGTTCCATGCACTCATTGTGGAGTGAACCACGGTCCAGCTACCGCCTTGTTTACGATTGATTCCCAAATACAGCGTGTTTGTGTTTGTCTGTGAAGGAGTGTGGGCCGGCTCCATTGATGAAACGTGGCTCCCATCCACCTGTCTCCCGATCTTATTCCTTCGGGTTTACACTGGAAATGGGATGTGTGAGTCGTGCGGCGCAAGCCACCTCTGGTCTCTGTAGGTGCAGGCGTCCTGTGGCTGACATCAGTGACAAACAAATTCGGAAACCGATACTGCTAACCATATACTAATTTCACTTAAAATTTGGCATTTTGCAAACTACTTTGGACATTTCGCAAAACGAATTGGGCTTTTTGCAAACCACTTTGGACGCATTGGATTTTAAGCTGAAAATCAGCGATTCACTTTTAAGAAGTGGGGAGTAAGGTGACTAGACGATGTTCAGACTACATCGTAGTCATGCGAAAATCTGCGTCACCATTCGGCAAGTCGACGTTTACGCGCGTCCCTCTTGAGCCATCTTGAGTCCGTCGCATGTGGAGATGTAACCCGCTCTCATCTATGACGATGCGTTCTTGTTTGTTTTTCGGTGCATGTAAGCTTGCCGGCTTGTGATGGTCGTGGCACTGTTGACGCGGTCTAACTCGCGGTAACACTTCTTGAGCGTTATCCTTAACCTCCTAGCAGCGTTGAAAACCGTATATAATGGTAGTTCGATTCCATCTCGCACAGCCCCTGCTGCCGCTGTACCAGAATGTCTTCGGAATGCCGGTCAGCTGTTTCCTCAATGCACTGCAAGACATCGGGAGTCAGCTTCTCCCTGTTGTTTCCTCCACATCGGCCACAGTGTTCACGCTTTCGCTCCTGTAGGCAAGGATGATGTTTCTTGCCGTGCTCTCGTTCATATAAGCGACTTCAGCAGCTTCACGGGTGGTTTTGCCGTCAATCAACACAGGTTTACTGACAACCTCTTTCTGTGCCCTTGCTGTTTGCTTGGACCGCCTCGGTTTTGAAGGGTCGTTCTGTCGCTGCCCGTCGCTCATTTTTGCCGTTTCGTGCAGCACAAGGCTAATAAAGCAATGCTCTGTTTGGTGGAGTTATAAGCCGCAACGGTCCAGCTGAATAGTCTAACCCGCACACCCACAGGAAACGCGCGGATACCCATAGGGTAACAGGTCAAAATGTGTCACCCGCTTCCAAGAAGGTGAACGACTCCAATGATCGAGAGGAAGGCTTGCACCACTGCCTGAATAGTCCCGTTGCATCCCCATGACCAACATATGTCGAGAACATAGTCCAGTCACTTTACTTCCTTATCTTAATAACAAACTGCAACTTAAGGCCAGCAAAATTACACTGCTTTGGGTGGTTTCCTCATAGCCTACACTGTTCCAATGTTCGAGCGGCTGAATGAGTTCTCCCACATCCACATAAGATACGCGAAGGCCCATAGTGCGGCAGGGGACAACTGCGTCACCGGTTCTGTTCGAAACAACTGACACATATGATCAAGCAAAGGGCTTGTACCACTGCCCACTACTTTCACAGTCCCGTTGCATTCGCATGACCAACCTCTGGCGGGAACATCTCCTAGTCGCATTACTCCCCTGTCTTGACAACTAACGGCAACTTTAGTCCAACGAAATTACGCTGGTATTGGTGGATTTATCATAGCCTACACTATTCCAATATTCGAGCAGCTGAATGCGTTCTCCCACACCCCCACATAAGATACGCAAAGGTCCATAGTGCGGTAGGGGACAACTGGATCGCCGCCTATCTGCTTCATCAATTACGGTCCGAGTGCTGGAATTGGCCAAGGTTTAATTCAGTGGGAATCGCGGCCCACATTGAGATGGCGCATCGTATCCCATTCCCAAAACCAGTGCTCCCCAACCGCCCCCTCCCCAATGCTAGGTAACGTTTGTTTAAGTCATGCTAGACAACGCTATTCGGAAGTCGGACTTTCCAATAGTCACATAGCTATACAGCTCCATGTGTAAAGTCAGGTAAAGGTATATGCATCGGAACAATTATAATGCATTTACCTTCGGCCGCTAACTATTGATTTTTCATGTTTGTCGTCGAGTCGCTCACACATACGCCGTTGTGTATCAGTTACCCATCGCTATACAAAATATCTCTTTATACGGCTGATGAATATTAAATTTTTATTTCCTCACTTTTACTACCACGTCATCACAACTGTGTCATAAGCATACTAATTGCTTCTGGTTTTATTGGCTCTTGCCTGCCATCCTCTCGTCTTCGCGTTTATTCCAAAGTAATTCATCCAATTGTCATTAATTTGAAATTCCGTTTTGCTTTATTATCTTTTACCCGACGCTTTTGTCTGTGAACCTGACTTCTTCGTCGCTGTACGTTTTGTGGTATGCATCGACAGTGTTCTGTGCCCGTCTCCATCTTTCCGACTTACCTAGTTGTAGTTCGTTCTTATTATTTCTTGACCTTTTCCAACGCTCCAATGTGCCACGCTGTGGGGCAGTTTCGTGGGGTACACGGCGTTACCGACTGCCTCATATGATATTTTTACTGGTGTATCCCCCTCTGCATTACTCAGCCTTACCCTGCTTCAATCGATAAAAAGTTCCTGTTTTACTTTTGTTCACTCCGATGCAGTTGGGGCAGTTGTTTGGTACACTACGCGTGCTGTTGTGTCAGCTCTAGGCCTCGCTGCATCAGCTCCATTCAAATATCGCCTTACGATGGGCAGTTCAAGGAATGTGTCGGATCACGATGTCTCCAATCTTGATGGTAAACATTGCCAAAACGAGGAAACGGATATCCCTAAGCTCGATGCAGAAACTCTGCCGTCTTTGCTTCCATTTACCTTTTCAATCCCTTATGAGAAGAATTCTAACGGTTCTAAGCATGTTAGCTCTACTACTTCGACATCGTGCTCTAAGATGGCACATCCTGGGAGAAAGCGCGCAGCGTCTGCATCGATGGATTTATCTTCAGACACTTCCTTGCGTCCCCATTGCTCATCTGCAACCTCTCAGCTTCGTCGTCCACTAGTCCCCACGAAGCTCTTTCCTTTGGCTGGCTATCTAATACAGAATCTTCCGTGGCCCTTCCGCCGCTGTGAGTTTTGTCACATACGCCTTAAATCCTAGGTTTCAAACATGGCTCATCACGAATAGGTCGTTGGCATTGGATCTTCTGTTCACCAGTACTAGTGGCTAACGCGCTGTTCTCTCGACTGAGCTCTCCGCATGAGTTTGTACACCCACTAGAGCTAGCAATTTCTACTTTTATCTTAGTTCCTATTGGCATCCTTTTGTATAATGATATTCGCGCACCAGTGCCGTAAACTAGTACTAACTATTCCATCTCAACAGTCTTCGTGCTCCCTGTTTAATTCTTTTTTACACTGGATCTTATGATTAACCATCTCGTTTTACTGCATTCCTTACGCTCTCCTGTTGCGTTGCATCACTTCGCGATACCTGATTCCCACCTTTTACTGAACCCACATTTGACTTCTGTTTTCGTCTGATTGATCTGGGCTCACTAGTCTGGTTTATGAAGTTATCACCAACTTCCGACCAGATTACCGGTCTACGCATGTGCAGAACGGGCCGTCCTCTTGCTTGTATCGGAGCCGGATTGTTGGATCCTCATATATATTGTCAGTTCATGCTCATTCATCAATATATTTACTTTCTCTTCGCATTCTTGATGGAATAGAATTTTATCGTTATTTTTCAAAGCTCATGCTCAAGACATTCAAATATCCGACAAATCGTGCGCTCGCACTCCACTGGTTTTCTTGGTTGTTTCGGATATTACTGACGTAGAAACACGTGTCATCCTCATTTTGCTCAACTGTCACTGTTTCTGTATGTGCACATTTACATTTGAAGTTTCATTTCTATTTGCGGAATATCTTCTTACGGTCATACTTTAGGTACTCCAAAAGCAGAGAAGTCCTCTACTAATGAGGACCGTCAGAAAAGTGAACTTGATAAGAGCGATACATCTTTCTCACGGCCAGAGGAGAATGGTTTCTCTGATTCCAACCATCAGGTAAGCGATTCAAATTGGCATTTCTGTTTCACTTGTTGAAGTATTTGCCCGGTTCACCTCGCAGAAATCTAGTTTGGAACGCGAGGTTGCGAACAGTTGCGTAATGGTTGTGCTCGCTCCATCAGCAATTTCGCTGCCCTTGTACTCTATACGAATCATGCTAGTAAACTGTCGCTTCTTGTGGCTTCGTTTCAATGTTTGATGTTCACTTCCTGCACCCAATTCCTCACATAGATGTTGAGATTAAAATTACCTGACTTGCGGGTACTCCAAGGCCAACCTTATATCTGCCTTGTTGTTTGCATGCCGTATATGAGGGACTGTGAAGACACCTGTGAGCTTTAGACTAGCGGATTACTACGGTTCACAAACCATCGCATCTCGTGGATCTGCCTCCTTGGTATATTTTGTCAAATGGGTGACTTTGGTTGTGGAGCTCCATGGTTATCTTGAGTTCGAACAACTATACACTCCACAAGTGTACGGGTTGTTTCTTCTATCTTTGAGACAACTGTTTTATTGCACGTTTGCATAATATTTGGCACTAGCCTCGCGCTCTCCATTAATTGAATCTTCCTGCTGCACCCCCGCCGGTGTATTGTATTGTTCGCCTCTCATCGCATCAAAACCGTTCGCCTTCCTTTTTTGTGAAACTATATTCTTGAGTTGTTAACAACCCCGTATTACGGTTCAATTTGTCGTGCCTCAACATTTGGACGGCATTTTACATCTTGCTTCGACCTCTGGCTTTACGCATTTCACTGTTCCCCTTATTCAACATAAAGGTCACTAATTTTTTGTCATCATCACTTTCATTAGGCGCTGCACCTTGATCTTTTCAGATGTGCAAACTCTTTTTACTGATAGTGGTTCCATCATTGCCATAACATCGTTTAGTAAGAATCAGGGACTGTCATTAATATATGCATTTGTCGCGCGCCTTCCTAGGACTGACTTCTTAATGATCTTGGAAAATAGTTTCATCGTTTCACACGCCAGTTGACATGAGTTATTATTTTTGACTGACACCTATCTATTCTTCCACATCCACCCTGCATACATTATAACCGCCATCGTGAAGTTTCTTTTTCGTGTTATTTGCTTTTCTAATCCTCAGACTTTGTTCCATTTAATCCAGGAAAACCCAACTGCTGATACTCAAAATTCTCATTTCCGCCGAGTGAGACAACCACCCAATCACTCAGGGGCTGCTGCTAATGTGGACTATAGCGTCATTGCCACAGTCATGGAACCGCAAAAGTCGTCATCAGCGACTGGGGACCTCGGATCTGTTATTATTCAACCCGATGGTTTACTGGCTGCCACCGCGAATGCTATGACTAGTGAATTCCAGGGTCAAAAACCCATACTGCGGTCACCAGGACACCAGCGCGTACAAAAACCAAGCAAATCAGCAGCTTCTCATTCACCCATTGAGGATAGAGCAGCCACTGCAGAAAGTCAGCGAAAACATTTGGGTCCACCCAGTAACCAGTTTAAGCGCTCAAGTATGGTCCTCCGAGGGTCAGGTGCATCCGCACAGAACTCCTCAGATAAACGACGTTCACTGCTCTTCGAGCCAGTGATAACAGAGCCAGATCCCAGCAAAGAAGTACGCCGCGTTTTTCTCAATTCCCATTCGCGTGTCCGTATGCTTGCCGAACTTCTTTGGTAATATTCCCTATTTATCCGCTGTTAGGATTTATGTCTAATCACATGACGCCTAAGAATTTATATTCCCGCAAATATCTCCCATTTCATATTGATTATTTATATTGTTACAGGATCTCTGTCCATCCGAAAATACTAGATGTTTGTTAATATTAGCTTCTGATTCTACCAAATCCAGAGCGTTATTGGGTAGCAATCATGTTACTTTAATTACTAGTATACATACCCTTGCGAACTGCGGCAGTGTTTTCGGTCGTTTGACGATCCACAGATCACCGTTCTGTTTGCTTAATCGTCGTCGATCCCATCCTAAAGTAGAGCTCGTGTTTTCCACGTTTTATGAGTTGTACTTCCTTCCATGCGGATGTTCTATCAGCTCAGTCCACTCGATTACGGCCATCCGTCTACTATGTTGTACATGTGCGGGAGCTTTTGAATTGAATTGACGCCCCTCTTATTTTTATGCTGTTTGTTTAGTTAAATAACAAATAAATACTGTTTAGTCTCGACTTACACGAGGTATGATCAGCTAATTGTACACTTTTTCTCGCATGCATCATATGTTGATCTGTTACACTTGGAATATCGCGGATGTGTATCCATAAGTTATTCTGATGTTATGCTAATAAATGATACTAATAATAAAGTCGCCAGCTTTACGCCGTAACGGCGCTTCGCTGCCACGCGACCACCACCAGTCTCGCGAGGTCTGAGTGCACTTCGATGATTTCCACCCCTACGCGGTTTCGAACCAGTAACCTTGTGATTGTAAATCACGTGCGCAGACCACTCGACCACCTGCGGACGATACATGATACTGGTAGCACTTTGGTGTCCAGGCTCGGAAAGAATTTCAATGGATGAATTGGAGTTGGTGAAGTCGGATTGATAATCCAACTTGTGTGCTACAGATGTCTAAGTGCATTTTCGGCAACTAGCTCTGCTTATTCGTAATCCAATGCTTAAAGTGGTACGTCAATTTCAGTGGAGATAGAATAGCAGAGTTAACAGTGAACCTTGCTCCAACTATTTTGGTTCTAGCTGGAGCTGTATACATCTACCACGAAGGTGAAGCGTGGATGGCTCATGTAAGCGCTTAGTAAATAAACATTGCATTCTCCACTGCTATCGTGTCACTTTCACCAATTTGTAAGCGGATCTAGCACAGGGTTTATATAGTGCAAGTCTAGATTCCCTGAGTACCACCGACTTTTAAATGTAGCCAATCACTGATTTGTCTTTTGCTGCGCTATTTCCCTCATGTTTGTGAAGTTCAGTGAACTAGATTAGTATACTCGCATGTCACTGTAAGGTAATTGGCAGGTAGTCGCCCGTTTGCTGTCAATGCATTGGTCGATAGACTACATCGATATAAATGGCGCTGCATTCCGCCGGTTAAAATTTCTCCAACGGTCTAGAGCCGTCAGGTCGCCTTGTACATGATGCAGACTAATGCGTATGCCATCAGCGAAAAGTCATAGTCTCCCGTGGTTAAAGCAATCGAACCCATTGTTGATATGCATAAGGAACAGTAGTATACCTAGAACTCGACCCTGAAACACGCCGCTAGCTGCAGCTCTGTCCCTATTTCGCACTACTTCGTTTATTGTCAAGTATGATGAGAACTTTGACGACAGTTGATATGATCTACCGAATGACTCGACTTTAGTCAATGGGCCAGCATTCGGGACTCAGTTACGAACGCCTTCTTAACGTCATAAAAGACGATAGCAGGCGCATAGTCTGCAACATTTTCTCGCCTTACAAAGTTGACATGTTTGACTGGATTTTCTCAGTAAAAGTCTATGCAACTTGTTTGTTGTGGTGCGTGGCAACATAAAGCCTAGGCTTTGCTCTTTGACGCGATAGACGTGTGGCTGCTTGGCTGGTAGTGTATAATGTTTCGACGACAGCCACTTCTGTGTTTTGATAGAACAACTGCGTGCTTCCGGGTTCTACTTATAGATGATAACGTGGAAGTCAATATTTCGACTGGTAGTTCATCATTTCATAAGGTTGTGAATTCAAATCGGTTTTCGTAGATTTTACTGGAACTTGAAAGTGTTCAAGAGTATGAATGGGACTTCCGTATCCCCTAGCATCACCAACACGGATGGAAAGCCATTAGGACTAGAGTAGATAGACAACTTTAGAGAGCGAGAGAGAGGGGTATTTAAGTATGTATTTGTGTGTGTTTGTGTGTGTAGCTGTGTAGTTTGTTCTTATAATTCTTATAATTGTGCTGATCCATTCTTGAATGTTTGATATCATCAGCAATGTGCGAGTAGACGTTTGGTGTTAGAAAGCTTGTCCAAATATCCACGGCGCAGTTACTTTATTTTGTGACGAGTCACTACCGCCACTTCACGGTGTTGTTAAGCAGACATTTGTGACTTTTATAGGGAGAACGCTTTGCCAGGCGAAAACCCACCACTTCCTGGAACACTGCCACCGAACTATGTCGATCGATAGGGTCTCTAGTGTGCGGGCGAGTGCTGCCTGTTAACCAATCTTTAGCAAAGTGCGCACGTTGAGGCATGGCAGTCTTAGCGAAGCTCGAGGACTCCAAAGGACAAGGAATGAACTGACGTTGTCCGGTTGGTTGAACATGGACTTGTCGACTGGATTGGAGCAATGACCTGCGACTGTATGAGTTAAAGCTAGAAGACAAGTGACTATTGAAGCAAGGTGGGGAGGGCGAAGAATTGGGGGATTGAAAATTGAGGGATAAAAGTAAAGTTGGAGCGAGACGACAAGGATGAAAAAGCGCAAGAAGACGGGAAGGCCTGAGCAGTAGCATCCAAACCCTATTCACCCTGCTCGATGTAGCTGATAGGGCACCGTTGGTTATCCTTTGCGAGGGCCAGCGCATCGAGAAATTGTTGAAAGTAAGGTTCATTGTCCCCTAGTTTTCTCTATCCGAATTGGGTCTTCAGGGTTACCAATGGGTTGGGTTTCAAGGATGGAAGCATGTAAGTCCTCATAGACATAAATGGGGTGAACCTCCTCGGCTACTGGCTTATCCATTTCATCATGTGCTGTAACCCAGGTGTGAAGATATGTATCGGCGCACTGGAGTGCCGTGTTACAATAAAGCATATCACTCGATGGCCGGATGGATGACTAGGCCTGATTGGTATGTTTTGTTGATGCGAAGCGCACTCTTAAGCTTAAGGCTAATTAAATGGCTTTGTGCTGCAACAGCGGAGTCTCAGATTCAACATTGTCATTATCTGCACCCACTACCCTCCATTTATTCCGTTATTTGTAAACCTGGAGCTTGCTCTCAAAATAGTGGTTTTCAATACATATAGTGATGCAGTTGTTGTGCAGCATGGTGAGTACCTTACATTGATGGTTTTGTGGGTATCCGCGTGATAAGATAATGGAATGGTGTTATCGGAGTGGTCGGTGACATTGCAAGGCTTGTCACCAGTCGTTGTGGGATTGCCATGAAACAGCCGGGTACTCGATGATAGCAGTAGTTTGTGGGAATCTGTGGCATAGTCAGAAGTATGGCTAGTACATACTCCCGTTGAAATTGATATGGCGAGCCGTAACATACCATTTTCAATTAAAAAGATGAGTGTTTTCAGAAGCAAGTTCAATGTCTCAAACTGTTGGAGATTTAACACAATGGATAGCGGATTGAACTTTTCGGGATTTGGCATCCTCACAGTTCGGTAAATTAGCCAATTCAACATGGTATTCCTCATTTAGATATGTTCGTTAATTCTGAGCAGGATGGTACCGGCTGCACTTTCTATTGCCATTTGACGCGTTAAGTTTTTATAGCGGCTGACTTGTATCATCTTCCTTCTACTGCCTTTCATTCTTCCGCATCAATGGTATGTCCTGAACAAGTTGCATAGTTTTATCTTTATTTCATCCGTTTTCGATTGCAGGTCTGTAACATTGAAGTGAAAATTGCTGATCTAGGAAATGCCTGCTGGACCTATCGTCATTTCACTGAGGACATTCAGACTCGTCAGTATCGTGCTTTGGAGGTCCTCATTGGTTCGGGGTACGGGCCTCCTGCTGATATTTGGAGTACTGCTTGCATGGTAAGTAGCCGAACTGCTGTTCGACTCTGAATGCTTTCCTGTGAAACTTTGACCAACTTATTGACCCCGTTATACTTTACTTGTTTGTCTCTGTTTTCTCAAATCAACGATGTTGCTTGTTTCGTAGCATCACTACTATGCTATATATCCAGCTCTGATCTATTCCAGTGCACCATTCTTCAGCCAGTTACCTGCTATGTTGATCTGATTATTTTTCATTAGTGACGAGCAACACTACCGCTTGTGCTAGCTACTATTCCATTAACCTAGTAGATGATGTAGTTACTTTTGTATTCCTAATCAACTTCTATTTTCCCGCTTAGGCTTTCGAACTAGCCACCGGCGACTACCTTTTCGAACCGCATTCAGGAGAGGATTACAACCGCGATGAAGACCATTTGGCGCACATTATTGAGCTGCTGGGTGCTATTCCGCGCAATATTGCACTTTCGGGCAAATACTCTCGGGAGTATTTCGACAAGCGAGGTAACACTCTTACTGTTGTCCACTTAATTTTTCACAGTGGTAAAGATCCCATTGTCTTGTGTTTCCACTGACAGTACGAATAGCTGATACAGCCGCTTCTCAAGTCAGAAAACAAGGGCCTCTGGCCGAGACTTAATGGTGCACCCAGAAGACAACCAAACTATGGGGTCAAAATAGATACTTCATGAGAGAATGACCTAATTGAAGTTCCTAACTATAGCAACTACTAGATGCTCAAAAACTCGCTTGTTGGTTGTTCAAGTTAGGCGCTTATTGCAGGGCTGTAAGGCAAGTCATTCTCATTGGTCCACTTCAAAGTACAACGATGTCATTGGCTAGCCAGTCAGCTTCAGGCGGCGTGCGACTATTCTCCTCCGGGCTGCTTAAGAGGGAGCTGACTTCAAGGGCTGCTACGGGCGGGCTGCCACCTTTCCTGTGAAAAGTGACGTACCATTTCCTCCTGGGGTCCAGCTGCATTCTGACAACGTACCTCCGTATCCGATCAGTCCATCGTCTTGACTGCAAGCTCGTCTATGGTCACCAGGCAAGGCTCACTAGGTCGCTCCCGAGTGTATGCTGAAATTGTTCAGCAGTATATCCTGTGGCACCGATCGTTCACTGGTACTTAGCTGAATGCTGGTAGGCCGCAGCTGGTTTGAGCGTCTGGTCCAAATCATGGCACGCACTCGAACTTTATACAGAATTTGTCCAGGTCTACAATCGATAAAGTCTGTGGTCTTCCAGGACGATAGTGTCTGACTAAAACGTGTCATGGGTAAAGTAGACGTAGTTGCGTCCTGTACCACTGATTGAAGTAATTTTCCATCCTCGCATTCCTTTCTTGCGGGGCGATACGCTTCGGAAGCAGCAAGGAACTCTGAGTACGGAATATTTTACCCAGCAGCGCTTCTGCTGGGGACAGCGGATTTGACGCCCGGGGCTTCGGGGTTGATCTGTACAATAGAAGGAATACCTCCAATATCTCTTTGGTAGTTTCTTCGCCCACATCTTTAGCAACGTCCGTTTTAAAGTATCAACTAAGCGCTCCGTTTGCCCATTGGACTGCAGATGGAACGGCGGCGAGCGTAGGTGTGTGATACTGTTCTGCGTACAGTATTCGGCAAACTGTAAAGATGCGAACTGAGGACCATTGTCAGTAACTAGGGTCTCAGTGTACCAATTGTTGCGCCACTTGTGCGTTCCATGCAGAACACTTCCAGCCATTTACTGAAAGAATCAACAACGATGATATATTGTTACCCACTAACGGTACCAAAGAAATCCACGTATACTCGTTCTCACGGTTTGGTTGATAACGGTCAAGAAGACAGTTCCGCTTTGCTGAGCGCCTTACTGACGAGCGCACATTTTGTACACGATTTTACCAGTTGTTCCAGCTCAGTCGATATTCGGCTAATGAACGTAACTCCGCTTAATCATTTTCATACTGTAAATGCCAGGGTGTCCACGATGAAACTGCCGCAGCATTCTTTGGCGAAACTCCCTGGGAATAACGACTTTCTACCAAAAGTAATCCATTAACGATGGATATTTCATATTTTCTCCCTAACAAACTTTGTAATTTACCATCTAGGTGGTCCTTCGGTTACGGTGTAGTATAAAGTCTGACCGCTTGTTGTAGGACACGATCCTGCATTGATACATCACGTACCATCTCAAAAGTTACCGGTAGCTCTCTGAGCCTTTCTAACAATACCTGACTCATTTCCGACTCCAGAGAAATCAATACAATGGTAGATGCTTCTTGCTGGCGCTGTCGGCTTTCCAATAGCAGGAGAAGTGTATCAGTTTGACCAATGTTCTCTGTAGCAATGTGCTTCCCCACAAAGTGGTAGCCAATTAACGTAGTAACGCACCACTGCAACCTGTTTGCCGTGCAGACATGGATGCACGACTGATTCGAAAAATGGCCAGCAGCAGCTTATGGCCTATAGGAAGTGTGAACTCCATTCCATACAGCATCTTGTGAAATTTTTACAGCAAAGACTATCGCCAAGTCTTCTCTATCTGGCGGAAGGCAGCGATCAGGCTGCATGTGCGACTGTCTTAACAATATGCGAAATCATTAGCTATGACTGCACCAGTGCCATCTTTCGAGGCGTCTGTGGCCACTACAGTCTCCAAAGTAGGGTCGTAATGTGTCAGTAGAAGGTTGGAATATAGTGGCCTTTTTCATCGTCAAATGGACTCTGGTATTCTCCGGACCAGCCCCAGCGTTTATCCTTGGTCAGTAGATTATCGAGTGGACCATGCAAACGATGCGTGTGCGGCAGGAACGGGCTGTAATGACTTACGGGTCCTTAGCGTTGTAATGTCTTTGGGCGGCGGCATCTTTATGATTTCCTCGTTGTTCGCTCGGTCTGGACACCTGTCGTTCCTGTCGATTATAAAGCCGAGAAGGTACACTTCTCAGGTCGGAGTCTGAATCCATATTCCTTAACACGGCCAAAAACACGATCCAATTTTGTGAATAGGTCATCAGCCATTGCCTCCGACAACAATGGTGTCGTCCATTTATGCTGCTGCTGTATCGGCATCTGTCAGCATTGTGTCCATGATCTGCTGGAATGTGATTGATTCAGATTTGACTCCGAACGGGACACGGTGATACTGGTACAAACCTCGATACGTATTGATGTTGAGTAATTCTCCTGAAGCTTCATATATCTCAGTCTGCAGGTATGCATCAGAGAGATCCCGCTTTGCAAACAAATCATCTGGAAGCGATAAAGGGTACTGATGGGCGTTCAATGCAGCATTTCGACCCGTCGAGAAATCAGCGCATTTCCGATTCCGACCGTTTGGCTTTTTGAGCGCAACAATGGGTGCTGCCGAAGATGAGTAGTTCGCCGGATGGATACCCCTTGCTTTCTCTAAGCGATCGGCTCATGGTCAACAATTGGTGTTTCCGTGTAAGGTACAGGGCGTCTCGTGCGAAACACTGCGACAACATCGAGCTTAAAGGACAGTGAAACTTGACTTTGGTGCATCTACCGAGGCCTTCCCAAAAGACTGCTGCATATTTCTCTCGATGACTGCAGTTTGAGCACACTTACGCAAATCTTATTGGTCGGAACATCAAGTAAATTGAAATGTTCGATCCAGTCTAGACCCTGAAGATTCAAATTCTGGTGGTTCATGACGAAAATCATTCCGCATGCAGTAAAGTCGGCATAACGACACACATTCGACTTGACCAAGTAATCTCAACTCGGCACGTGATTTACTTTTCGCCTGCTGACTGCTAGTTTTGATATTTGACGACCCGACAACAGCCTTTCTGATAAACCGTAATGTCCGAGGCCGTATCGATTCTTAAACGCGCTTGTCTTCCATTGATGTTGATATACTTCCTACGATCGTCCGTAAAATTGGCGTTTACTCTCTTCGCAAAACGACTGCATCATGAACCCGTCTGAAAGATGGTTAGCATCTGCAATGCGTTTATTTGTGCACACCTCTACAGCATTTCTGACATATATGCTTGTTGAATGGACAGCATCTAACAAAATGCCAATCTCCGCATTGCCAACATGCTGATGGGGGCTTATCCTGAGGGTGTATGTTGCTATCCGTGGCTGGAACCTGGTTCATCGAAATCTACTGAACTACGAAGTCATTGGAAATCGTCTTCGTATCCTCGAACATAGCTGTATCGTGTTTTAGGTGTATGATCCCCTGGGCCTCTGTAATAATAGTTTGCAGTGTGACTTCCGGGTCTCGCTCTCATAACACATTGAATGATTAAATGTCAGTGCAAGCGAACGGAAGTTTTCAATAATTCTGCTTGGGGAAAAACAAGTTTATTGGTAAAATACGTTCAGTTTAGTCACTGTCCATTAGGTCACAACTGCAGCTTGTGTACAACTCCGTGGGTTGGACGTCACAGTTCCAGTGGTCGAGAGCTATCCATCGCCCGCTTAAGTGACCTCAGTCTTATGGGATTGGCGGCGGAAATTCAGTAGCCCTACACGCTTTTCATTTTATGCTCATTTCTGTTTACCTGATGACATGTCTGAAGAAGTCTAGATGTGATTAACTTTTACCATGCAGGTCCCTCTTGTATTCTCACTTTGGACATATTCGCACTCATGCACGCAGAGTTTCTACTCTGTTTTCTTGGGATCACAACTCTTGCAGTTTGGCGAGCATGTTAAGAGAACAAACTCATCGGCCGAGGTGGGGCTGTTCACCGTTGTTTACGAGTGAATAATTCTTGGGAGGATTAAGTAAATTAGTGGCGTATTTTTTAATTAAACTTAATCTACAGGATAGTGCTCCATCATGAGAGTGAGAAAGAAGAAGCGAGCATAATTGTGTGGTTCGTCAGTATGCGAGATACCACTCGGTTACCTAAGCCGAACTAGTTAAGGCATCAGCAATACCAGCATCTCACGGCCACGCAACCACCACCATTCGCGTGTGGGCGAAGGATACTGCAAGAGTCGCACTGTCCCTTATTCAGGCTCGAATTCGTGACCTGCAGCAACCTTTTTAAGCAGACTTTTGTGGTTTTTTATATGGAGATCGCTTGTTAGGCTAAAACCCGTTATGTGAAGGAACACTGCCGCCGAACCATTCGTCGTTCAGCTATGACCGCGCGGAGCTTTTTCGGCAAGCCAATCATACGGGCTGGTACTAATGAGCAACTCTTTTGGCAACCTCTTTAAGAGCAGACATCGAAAAACTCAGTGCACGTTCGGTATGACCTTTTTTGGATCTGCTTAACCCCTATACAAATACTGTTTCATGGGCTGATACCCGAACGCTCTGAATTTTGATATGCTGTTTTCCCCTCCCAAATTCTAAGTGCTTTTGCTTGTTTGAGTGGATGTTTTATTATTGCAGCTGATCAGTCAGTTTATTCATGTCGTTTCTTATACCACCCGGATAGGTTTTCTGCAGCGGTAGACGCGCTCAACAGATTTTCATTGATTTGTCTCTACAAATTTGGAGCATTTCCAGCTGAACTTGCACGAGAGCTAACTTATTACATACCATGGTTGGTTCCATTGCCTGAGTAACCGATGCACCGCTCTCCACTGAGGGTCACATACACACCCACTCATCAGCTCCAACGGTAGCCCAGCGTCTCCCAATTTGGTTGATTCAGTCGATGGTACAACCACTTGGAGTGCATCATGTGACAATGTGGTACCTTGTCTCACATATCACAAACCAGCTGGTGACGATTTGTCATCACATGAGCCTTTTGCATTCTCTTGTGGAAGAGAAATCTTAGAAGTTTAGTAATTAATGTGGCAAGAGTTCTCTTCGGTCAACTGTCATCAGACCCGAACATTTACATAGCACTGATAATGTAAGGAAAGCATCAAACCTAGCTGCCATTGACCTCTAGGCTGTTTGAACGATCAAAATCTATAGATTGAGACAGCGATATAAGTGATAAACCAAGCGAACCAAAGGAACATGCGTACACGAATATCAGGTAACAACCAAATAACTAACAGTGTCTGTTGGCTGCGAAGCGCTGCTAATGACGAGGTATCATCCAGCGTTGTGCGCTCAGCAATCATCGAGACAGTCAGTTAGCTTGTTATACTCGTGGCCATGTGATTGCACTTTGGCCTTGTGCATTTCTTCGACCTCTGTAAATTCGTTTGTCTTGCTTTCATTGTTCTTTAGACTGAAGACAGCAGTGTCAATAGTAACCAATCGCTATCCGGGCCTCTGCGTTGCTGAAGCGGTTTCAAGTGACTTAGTGCTTCAAAATTGCGGTGCACAGCTCTGCAGTATGATCCAATTTCAGTATGCACCAGCGGAATCCCCACTGTGCTCGGAAGACTTCAGACAATTGGTTGCCTTAATCGCTATTGCATTTGCGGCATTACTTATATCTAAAGTCTGTCTTGTGGCACAGAAGCGTACCCTGGAATACAACAAGGGGTCATGGTTTGCACTTGTTCCTGCACCGGCTTACTATGCATATCAGCCACCCAATTCGGCCTGTACTGTTTCCTAATGCTGCATATTGGGTAGAATGTCGTGGGGACCAGACAGTTGTAGCAGAAACGTATGAACTAATTTGTGTCAGGAGCGCCCAACAGATACCCTAACCGGTCGTCTACTACTCCTTCTGAAATGACCTACAGGCTCTTCCAATCTGCCACCTACTCTCTTAATGTAGAGCACAGACTGTGCGTTATCCATAGTCGGTTATCCCATCTTATCCGACTCGCGCGAACACGTTGGGGACATTTGCATCTTGCTGTAGATTTTTTCCAACCGATATTAGCAACCTTTTACCCCTGTATTTTTGCCTATTTCCTACCTATCTTTTTGCGCTTGTGCTAACACGAACCACTGCAATTCAGCACATGGGTTACCCTTTAACCAATGTTTTCTGTCATTTTAGTGATTCATACAACCACTTGATGCATGAACTGTTTTTCTGCTCTCCACAGCTAGCATAGCACCGGACATAAAGCGTATCGTCATATAGGGTTGCTTACTGATCTCTATCTGTTTACTGAACTACGTTCCTTAGCTTACTTGGCCCATACTACCATGCTTCCTGTTTTCACGATATGTATTTCCGCCCTAATGGGAAATGGTGGACATTGTTTTTCTCCCGCTATATGTTAAACGCTAATCGCCTTCCTTGGAGTGAACCTCTTTTTCAGCTTGTTTGCGACACATCCGGCGGCTTAAACCCTGGGGTCTTTTCAACGTCCTTACGGAAAAGTACGACTGGCCTGAAGATGAAGCTGCACAATTTACAAGTTTCCTTATTCCTATGCTTGCATACGACCCTAATGATCGAGCTACCGCTTGGGATTGTCTGCAACATCCTTGGATTACAGGACAGTCGTTTACTCCGTTGGTTCAAGGACCCCTACCCGGCCCTATACCGTTCGAAATGCATCATCCGGAAAGGTTATTGACGGATGTTTTGTCTCACACTAGCATCTACTATCCTTCTAGAGTAAGTGGTTTACTTGATTTTGTGGATCCCACCATTGTTCTGTTTTTTTTTGCAATAATTTCATTTGAGTGTAGCTGAATTAACACTCACGTGTATTGTCTCGCTTGTAGTATCAACCGTTAATCGGTGATATTTCTCTTTTCTTTCGTGATCATCCTTATTTCCTGTGACTGGATATCCTGCCACACGTTAACTAAATGTGAAAATAACTTCAGCTGTTTTCCACAATACAGAAAGCTAAGGTACATGGATAAGACGAGATACTAAGACAAAATAATTATATATATATATATATATATATATATATATATATATATGCATCAGAAATGAAATCTTAGTTGGAAGAGAGCTAGGCGGCAAGACTAGGGTCAAGGAAGCTCACGTTACAACCGCCAATGGGGTCGGCTCTTCGCCATGCCAACTTGTATCCAACCAAACGTGTTTATTCCCCTTCGGACCCCAGCCCGGCAGTCGGGAGACACCAACTGACGCTAAGTACAAAGTGAGGAACTACATAACTCTCGACCAAGGCATCGCTCGGCCTACACTCCTCTTCTATCAACAACCTCACCGCATGTGCAACACATGGCCCAGTCATCGAAAACTGTTGCGTGCTATGATGGTGCTCAGCGGTTACCCCTTTCTTTCTACATCAAATACACGGTGTCAAACAAGTTGATTACTAACGCAGTGTTCCCACCAGACATGAGCCAAACTCCGATGATTGTGATGCTCGAACGTTAATAGTCTCTTTGTGTCTGTTGATTTGATGGGCCAGGTTTTGCAACTTTATAGGAGGGTTGAACGGACAGATGCGTTGTAGACTCTGCTCTTCAGAGAGATGGTAATGTCGCGCGGGTACCACAGACAATGGCACCTCGAATGTTTGCTATATGGTTGTATATCTCAGCTTTTATTCAATCGGCGCTAATGTAGCCACCTAGATTTTTGGATTTCTAGCTGATCACCAAAAAACAGCACAGCAGTTGGTCCTTGCCAATCTTGGAGGAGAGCTTTGCAGTTCGAGGGTGCAAAGCTTAGTCCGAAACAACTCGCAGCCAGTGCTTCTTGGAACGTTAGGGGGCTGTCACAGATTGGGCGATTGCCACCTAAGAACTCACTTGGAAGCAACTTAACTTCCTGTAGGTCATGGTCATTGATTCGAACATGAAGGGTAACAGCGAGCATTTCTGTATCACAACACTAGAGATATGGGAGGGAGATGACTGTTTTCCATAAACCCTTACTCTCCCTGAGTTACACGTGTACGGCAACTTTATGTCATTTACATATATATTGGATGCGCTTCCGGATCAAACAGTTCTAATGGGCACATCGATCCGCCAAATCTAAGGCGCCTTCTACATCAAGTAGGTATCCACTAAATATTGCTGAGCCACAATAATAGATTTAAAGTGCAAATGTACTCAATACAACCCAGACCGACGGAACACGGCTCGTTCCTCCCAAGAATGCATGTCACCGATACCAGTTTGTCTATGGAAAACTACGGAAGTAAGTAATACGGAGGCTTTTCAGATCAGACTGATTTCTTTATGACTACCACAATCTGGATATCAGCTTTCCCTGAAACTTGGGAGCGATTTCAATTTTCCACATCCATCTCTTTACTCCTCATTTGCGTAATCCATCCGAAAGAGCAGGTCCCCAAATTTGAACATTACAGAAGCATGTCTGTTTGATCTTGTGACCCTATTCAATTCCAACATCCTCATCTATTGTTCGACTTTGGCGTGTGAGGGCGGTTCCAAGGTGACCTCTATGGGGCGAGAAGGTCACTAGCGGGAAGCGAGTCTATTATTTCCAACTAAACAAATCGCTTCTCAAAGTACTCAACACAACGCTCCCGGCGTATTGTGCAATCTCGTTGCATATAGTAACGCTAGCACCAGGTCTCCTGCTGCCTGTTCCCGGTCCCAGACCGAATAACTGACGGATGCGGCTATTCACCTCGATGCATGATGGAATAACTAGGTTTCACGGTTTCTTTTCGGCTTTGCAAGCAGTTCCGACCTTAAGCCTTTGGAAGTCTCGTTGCATACACTCCGATCCGGAACTCGTCGGCGTAGAGACCTAATGATCAGTTTGACAATCAAATTTTAACATTTAGAATACCTGATGCTACTAACGTCCGGTGAACATGCGACCAGTGACCCACAACCATGTTCGGTGAGCACTTACTCAACCCGTATGCCAGCGCAGTTTGATATACAATCAACAGACTTGGTTTCGCCGCATGCGTCCGCCGAAGCGAATTCTGAGATGCCCGCATACAAGTGTATAGTCAGAGTCCAGGATCGTGCTTCAAATAGGCAAATGCTTCCGATGTGTTTAATTTGTGTCCATGGCTGTCGGGCACCATGTCACCCCCTGATAGTACTATCGGAAGTTAGTCGTCAACATTACAACTGGTTTTGAACACATCTGTTTTTGTACGTTCTTAATGTCGCAACCTTTCTCTCTTGACGAAAGCGCTTCCGCAACACAGATGGATCGGCACACAATCGGCTTAGCTTTCGCTAAGGTCTGAAGAAGCTCTTGCGTCAAGAGCGAAACATTGCCTCAATAAAACATAAAAGCATAAAATCAAAAATATTGACTAATTCCTCAGCGTCATCATTAGAAGTGTGAAACTTAGCTACTGTGCCGCAATACATAGAAAAATACAATAAACGTGCTGCAGAGCACGCCGGCTGAGCCACCAGCAACAGATAGGCATCGTTCTGGAGAGCTATCAGCCATCTACTGTGCCATAATAAAAGAATTATATTATGTGTAGGAAATGAGATTTTGGTTGGAGGAGGAGGCTAAATAGAGGGGAAAAGACAAAGAAACACAACGCAATCGCCACTGAGATTAGCTCCTAGTTATGTCAACGAGTGTATCCAGCCAAACGAGTTCATCGTCTTTCGGACTCCAAATAGGGAACTGAAAAGCCTTAACCGACGCAAACTCTTCTTGACCAAGTCATCGTTTGTCCTCCCGGTTTCCATCCACTCACCCCCGGCGCACAAACCTCGCGGGAGGCGGTGGGTGGACATACACAACACGTGGCCCAGCCATCGGAGCCTTGGGCATGAACCAACTGTACTGAAAGTTCTGTTCCTCTTCCTGTCCCGTAAACAATGCGTCTAACACGCTTATGGCTCACTGTATATAGGCGAGCACCTTGACGCAAGTGTGACAATCGTTCACCGTTATCACTACGAGAGCCTACACCGTACTAATCGCCTATATGCAGCTCATCATTGGACAGTTGTTCAATTTGGGCATTCAGATCACCAACCAGCACACTACAGTATCCGTACTCCTGCTGTGACGAAGGAGCTAGTTCAGTTGGTTATAGAAGTCATTTGTCACTGAACTAACGCTAGTTTGTGGGGCGTATGCAGCAATGACAAATAGGTACCTTATTATCCCCAAGCGACTTCTCAGCTTTGAACGAGCCAGTCAACATGATGGTGCATATCCGGCTGTTGATTTGAATCCAATTAACTCAGAGCAGTGCCCACAGCGATATATATACAGCTGCATCATCACCAAACATAGTCCGTGTGAAAGTGCCACTTGTGAAAAATCCCAGAATGAGCGCAGAGCACGAATCTCGCAGTCGGGCTTGCGATAAAATGCATATGTCGATTGACAAGGTATCTAGTTTTAGGCTAAATGCTGGTTGTTGCCCCCATTGGGCACCAAAGTGCGCGCCTTGAGACATGTCAGGGTTGGTAGGGCTCGACAAAGCTTAAAGGGAAACGAATAAACTGAATTAGTCCGTTTGGTTGAATATGGACTTGTCGACTGGTTCAGAGAGACACCTTACGATTACGTGTGAGTCGAAACTAGGAGGCAAAGGACTGTCGAAGTAACTGTGCCAAGTATTTGGTGATTGGGGCGGGGGTAAGATTGAGGAGTTTGCGGATAAAATGGCGCAAGAGGGGAAATGTGAATTGGAGAGGCAGTAGCATCCTCTCCTCTATGCACCCGATAGGGCGCCGTTGATTCTCCTCTATAACGTCCAGAGCGTCAAGAAATTGTTCTAGAATACATTTGTTGTATTTTATGGGCAGGATACTGTCAAGTTGCCCATACCTAGATAGGGGACAAATAGGATTTTCAACCAAAGCCTTTTGGTTTAGAAACCTGCTTTCCCGATTATTGGATTACGGCGTTTGGCTACGGAGTTCGTTCTATGCGGCAAAGAGACCCCTTCACTCTGACCCTCAACCTCGAGGGCTAAAAGACTGAATCTGTCTGGTTTCTAACCCTTACCCAATCTGCGGGTGCAGTATGCACCACCCAGAATAACTATGAATTATGAAAACGGGCAAACCGCACCGTTTTAAGGTAAATTATTGCTTGTTGTGGTCATATTGATGTCATGATATCCTCAGGTTTACTCACGTAAGTTCCTGATCCGTGCTAGTCCTACAATTCTTAGACGACTTGACGTCAGGATGCACACCTCCATTTCCTCTTTGTCTTCCACCTCAGTGTGCAACAACACATTTTTGCACTGCGTCCCGTACCTTTCCAACACCTTTGTTTTTGTCCAACTTATTATTTATTTACTTAAACCGTCTTCGTGAATGTTTAAGCTTAATTGCCTCGTCGTAACTTGCCACCAGTCACCAGCTTTTGCTTAGTAATGGGTCACTTCGCTCGTTTGGCTAATGGATACACGCTAACATTCTATGGAGCTTACTCCACACGTGTTTGCGCTTATTAAATCCAGTGCCACTGACCGTTCTTCCTTTCTTTTCATTTAGGTTCCGCTTGCGGTAGCCCACAATCCCTGCCTTCCGGACTTCAGCCCAGGAGGTAGCGATGAAGATTATGAAGAAGATGACGACGGAAACGATGTGAAAGATTACGATGATTATGATGACGAAGTCGATGATATTATCTGTGATCCACGTCGTTACAGTCGCCCACCCCATGAACCTCCATCTCTAAAGCAGTCAGATCATCCGTTTGTATACCCTCACAATTCAGTCACTGATGTGCCGCCTCATTGTCATATTACAGATCCGGTCGCTATGGCAAGAGCCTGTGGGTTATCCCCAAGTCGCGCAGCTATAATGGCTTACGCTGCCGAAGCCCTCGGTCCTGACACGGTCTGGGCTGGGCTGGCCGCTGCCAGGAAACGCCAACAGGATCGCTTGAAGAAGGGTCAGGTAATCGAGAATACCGATATCAGAGCGCCCATTCGCACAGAGGAATCAACTGTCTCTCCGTCCTACTTGACTAAAGCGCGTAGCAATTCCGAAAATCCGCAGGATTCGCGAAGCATGAACCCTATTCCTCTCACCATGCATCCTATCGAAAACCTAAATTATCAGCTTGAGGCTGACAACGAGGAAGATGTATCAACATATTTATCGATCACATCTGGTGGTCGTTCTACAGCAGGGTCTGTCCCCTGTGATGCGCCTCCTTGTTCCAATCGCATCCGAAACGAGTCTGAGAAACATGGTCTTAGTATCACTGACAGTGCCAAGGATTCCCCTATCCCTGAATCTCCCGACCGATCTAGAGAAGCTACATCAAAGGCTTAGTTTGTATTTTACATTGTTATCATTACTTTGCCTGCTTTTCTTCCTTCGATTTCACGTTATACTAAGCGACTGGTCCCGCCGACATGTTTAAGTCATATCACAGACTTAAGTGGACAATCTCCATTTGTCAGACAATGATCTTACCTGTTACCTGAAACGTTCCATCTCGATATATGGTTGAGCTTATTTTTGTAAGCTCTTTGGATTGGTCAGCTTCACTATATCTTCTCGACCATGAATGTATCGCATATGGGTTGCTCAGTGCTCGGATGTTTCCTCTTGGAACTTGGTGCTTCTGTCAGCTAGTCCCCCACAACTCATCTCGCTGCTCTGAGCATTCCATCACAGACATCGTGTGGTTTGTTGGGCAAGTCAACGTTACTGCGCAGCAAATTGTTATTCTAATTGCGCTGGTTGGATCACACATCCGTCCTGGGAGTCACATTTTTGAATTCTTTTTGCTAAATTAAAGCAGGTCAGTGTGACGCATTAGTGGATGTGATAACTTTGCTCAACGGCCCAGTGTTAGCTCCGGATTGTTCATTTGTGATTTTCCTGCAAAGATCCATTTTGAAACTGTGCACCCAATTTCACCAGTGCGCCTCTTGTACATAAGCTGATGTGTGGTTGTGAAGTTCGTATCGCTCGAACTGAGTATTGTCGCAAGTATATGGTCTCGTCAGCCCTCCTGTGATCTTTCGGTCCACCCTCTGTTTCCGCGCAGCCAACTCCTCTATCCAGCGTCGAACTTGTTACAGCTGATGTCATATTGCTCTCTCCTCGCGCTCCTGGCCACTTTTATTCCATTCAGTATGTTGAGTTCACCCCATATTATGCGATTTCTGTAGTCCAAAGCGGCTTTACTAGGTATTCCGAACACTTGTATAACAAATTGTTTTCGCAGCGGATCTCGACATTTGCATTTTTGCTTCCATCGGATCTACTAATTCTGCTTATTGTGGACAGTTGGGTTAGTTTTGATATTTAAGCGTTCTATCAAAAGTCTCACTTCATCTCGGCCTTTTCTTTCTTATTCTCATCTTTTCTCCATAACGTGCATTATGTGCGTCACTTCACCTTTTTTGCATGCCGCACCTCTATACCGCTGAAGCAGTTGAGTTTTCCTCCATGTGTACACTCCTTTGGGCATGTGCTTAAAGTTATGTGGTAGCCTTACTTCCACTCCATCACTCGTTTTCTTAGGAACAATTTAGGCGGCCTACCTCAAACCACCAAGTGTTTCATTCCGATTCCGCCTGGTCATCTCATTCGTTCGCGCCTTCTAAACGTTAGGCTTCGAACCAAATTGAGTTTTTCAGATTTGTAAATGAGTGTGTCGCATTTTAGTTAAATAATTAAAACCCTGCTAATTTACGTTATTTTTTAAGATATCACATTATTCTTAGGTTTATCTCGCATAGTGTTTGTGACGAAGCTTTCGAGGGGTTTTGCGGGTGGGGCATTCGTTGGGCTGTTCGCCTAGTAGCATTACCGCTTTGCATTACTTATTATACTGTTGGGTCCTCCCAAAAGCACATATTTTTAGTCAACATTTAATCAATGTAACGTGCAATGTTATCGACTACGTACTGCCAAAGCTCAGACAAGCTTTCGATACCACTCTCATAGAATCAGCTGGGCCGACTGTCAAGGTATTGGGAAACATTCGTTCCAATGTCTCGCTCTTTGATGTGCTTATGCAGCATATGTGCTACGACACCGAGCTGCTGAATCTTCAAACGCACCACCTTTGCCACATGAGGACCTGCATTGTCATGTAGGTGGAAGGTTCGGTCCGCTCTTGGACGCTTTTTTCGGTGTTCGTTGAACATCTCATACAGTTGTTGACAGCAGACATTGGCAGTCAGCAGTAGAGGACGCCGCAGCCATCTTACCAAATTGAGTGTCACTGTTTTCCCATACAGTTCGACTTTTGCAACTTGCACTAGCATTTTATCCGTTTCGGTCCACTACCGCTTCTTGGTATTGTTGACATGGAACACACACTTCTCGTCTCTAGTAACGACATCGTTCAGCTATCAACGATTATCTTCTCAGGTGAGCTATCAAAGTTCGATGGCACACTAGTTCAAAAGCTGCTTATCTGTCGATTCGTGTGCTGCAATTTGACCGAGCTTTGGGACAATTGTGGGTTGGTGCGGATACCGATGAATGGCGGTTTTTGGAAGGCTATGGTGTGAAGAAACTTCACGCGGGTCCTCCTTTAGATCATCCCGGAAGCTGTTGACAATGTTCACTCACTTGCGCCCTTGAACGACGATGTTTGTTAATTCGTAGTTCCCTGCTTTGAATACTGTATTGTGGAGCAAGCAGAAATGAATTCTGTACAACTCCGTATTATGGTGAAAACGTTATAAAAATTGTCACCCGTAAGTATTGTTATCGTTTTCATGTAACGTTTAAAATATCTGATTCATGCTATTGCATGACTCAAATGTGCAATATCATCGTAATTGTGCAGTCGTTCTCTGAAGCGAATAGTGGTAAACTATAAATCCAACAACGCTTTGAACTGCTGCACAAATGTGGCCTCCATCACATGTTCAAACAAACTGTTCCAAATATTTACCAATCTCCAGTTGAAACGTTGCGCTGGCGCGACATCACTCGCACTGAAGGCTGGAGTGTTCCACGCAGCAGTACGTTTGACCCTACTTTAGGTTTGTGAAACCTGTCCCCTTAGATCAGCTAACATAAAGAAGCTAGTTACGTTCGACCAGTAGTGCCCTCGCAGTTTCGCTTACATCTGGTGGGAAAATCGCGTAAGGAACTAGGGGGGTTTGTAGCCTTGTTTACGGCACAGGAAGAAAAATTGAACGGCTCAGCACCGTCATTTCACGCACCAGGCTCCGATGGCTTGCGTACGTCTTACGCTTGCTATCCCACCGTCTCTCGCGACATGCGTTGTTTGCGTGCCGGAGGTGTGGATGGAGAAAAAGGAGAGGTGGCTAAGAGATGACCTAGTCTAGGGGAATAAGAACCCTCTTTTCGAAGCTGCCCTCCTTTGCAGTGTCTCGGCTCCCTGGTTGGGGTCCGATAGAGGATGAACAAGCTTGGTTGGATCCACTTGCTGATATGGCGTCCGTGTTGTAAGTTTCCTTGTTCTTCCCCATCCCTCTTAGCTTCCCTCTCCAACCACGTCCTCATTTCTTAGCATAATAACATTTTACATATTAATATTGTTATTGCCTAGTTACCTTCTGGTAGCTTTGAGGAACGATAACCATCCGTTACTGGTAGCTCAGCTGGCATGCATCTGTTGCATGTTTTTTTCCTTTTTTCTCTCAATATTGCGGCATAGTAACTGAGGTGTTTTCCACCTCTAGCTGACGTGTATAGTAATGATGATGATGTTTTAAGAACAGTGAGTTGGCAATTCACTTGCCATCCGGCACCACAAGTTTGTGTGTGTTTCCACCTATGCTGCATTAGCCTCAGCAAGGGGAAATCAACGAGGTGTAGAATACGGTAGGTCATAATGAGGTCGACTCACATCCGACGATAGGACAGGGTGTAGAGTCCTAGTTTCTCGCACCAGTATCCATACCGCAAGCCACGCATACTCAGAATGCGATTGGTAGCAACTTGTTGGACCCGTTCGATCTTCTGTGCTTCGCCTCGGGTAATCAGAAAGTAAGCGGACGAACCGTACTAACATTGTAAGAGGCCAGTGGCAACCACTTCAGATCATGTTCTACGATTAATCGCCCAAAGCATACGCAGTCCGTTACGATACAGCCAGTTTGTGTTGTCCACCGATTTTAAATCGCAGCGCGAGTGTGCACTTCATGGAGAATGTGGGATATAGCGGTTGGCCATCAACGGTGTAGGTTTGACCGTCAGCATCCTTCCACAGCCTCAAAAATGCAGACTTGGCTGGGTTGACCGGGAGATGAACTTCTTCAGACCATGTGGATAGGCGGTTGATGTCTTGCTAAAGTACGCCAGTCCTCGGGAGCATCGATTTCTCTCTATGCCTTCATGTCCAACAAACAACTTGCGGATCCACTGATATAGTTCGCCACTGACACCGCACATCTTGAGTTTGTGAATGAGGACCTCATTTCTGACGTCCGACGCTTTACTAAAATCGATGAATAACATGGCCCCTTGCTTATTGCCTGTGACCATTCATGCCTCCTCAGAATCAAGTTTGTAATGCATGAGCTGCCTTGCATTAAGCTCTGCTGTGCGGGCGTCAGGACCACTTTTGATTGCAGCAATCGCTTCACGATTTTCTCCGCGACCTTTGCCAAAATTGATGTCAGACAAATAGGCATGTAGTTGTTTAATTTGCAATGATCGCCGTCTTCCCGAACATGCTTCACCACCGAACATTTCCAATCGATCACCAACGAACCTTCGAACAGCGACCTTTTGTAAAGCTCAGTCACGGCAGGTGAGATGTTGACCGAAACTGATTTGAGAATCAGTGGGTGGAGTTCATCAGCTCCGGCAGGTTTGGTGCCGTCAAGGCTGGCGAGTAGTTGGCATACCTCTTTAACGCCGCAATCAAGACTGTCTAGTTTGGTAAAAGCGGTACACGTAGAACTCCGAACAGACACCTGGTCATTTGCAAATACAGAAGCGAAGTACGCCGCCAACGCGGACGCACTCTCAGTGCTGGAGGTTAGGAGCCGTCCGTCCGAGCCATCCAGCACTGGCACATCACCTGCCAGCTTCAGGCGTCACAAAAAATTCTCTTTCGGACGGTCTTCGCAGCGCTTGTTATCTGTTCTTAGGAATGGCTGTTGCAGATGTTCTGCTGCCTTTTATATGCTACGTAGACATTGACGGAGCTAGAAAGGAAGAATCGGTCCCAAGGTCTGCGCCGCCTCCGAGCCAGATTTCCATGCTCCTTGTCAAACTAATGAGGCCTAATCAGTCCAACCTTTCGACATTTCAAGCGCCCAAATTGGGAGCACAATAACGCCATTCAATCTTTTATAGATGTCCAACAGTCTTCCACAGATGTAACTTGACAAAGACTAATCCAGTTATCCCGCGGCTTGAGGTAGTCCGTTTTGCAGTAGTATTAAGCTAGCTGTAGCGAACGTGAGTACGGCAAAGGTAATTCAATATCAGCTATGAGCATCCAGGGGCTCCAGGATCTAAACGTTATGCACTCGTTGTACGTAGTTCGTTAACATCAGGTCTAGACAAGATGGGGTTGAGCGTAGTGTTATGCGTGTTGGCTGGCATGTGTTGCGGTGTACCAGTTTCAAGTACCGAATCCACGAACTTTGCTTTAACTTCATTATGTTCAAGCACCAAATGCACACCGGGCCATCGTATTCGAGGACAGCTGAAGTCGCCTTTACGTAGTTAATGTGGACGACTCATGTGGGTTCGAAGATGTGACAAGCAATCCAAACAACGACTCAGGGTGCTGCGTTCACATGTAGTTCTCTGCGCCTGAGATGGTTGGAGCACCACAGTAGCTCACGTAGATTAACTTCACTTAGGTAGGTGCTCACAAGTCTCCCACGCAGGATTGAGAGCAAGACGCCACCGCTGGCATTCGTAGCGGAAGCACGGGTAACCGCAGAGTTCAATTTCCTGGGTCTGTACATCTGAATGTAGCCATGTCTCTGCGAATCCCACTACGTCTATTCGCTCAGACGCGGTGAAACGACGAAGCTCGTCGCGTTTGTTCAGAACACTGCAAACTTTGATAAAGGTTACACACAGGCCGCACCAGGAACCGCCGTGCGTGCTTGAAGTGTAAGCAACCTGTTTATCTTGGTTCGCAGACTCTTGGAGACCACTTCGGCGGGACAAGATCAGTCTTGAACTGGCTTCATACACAAAAGTGGTTCTCCTAGGCCGATTTTGTTGCTCACCCTGATTTTGAAGACGGGGTTATTTGACGCACTTCTATCGGGTCCTTGCCAGCGTCGAACAGTCTGTCAATTAGACTCTGTAAAACTCGACATCATGATTGTAACGCACTTGGAGTGATGGATCACTGGACTCCGGCACGTGGAGGATCACGAGGTTATAACGCCTCTGGTCGGACGACGTTGATCTTGCACGTCGTAATATATCACGAGCCTCACGTGGTTTGACTAACTGTTGACTTAGAGAACTCAAACTCCCAACATTATTTCGTTCTTTGTTTTTTCCACTGGTCTTCAACACAGACTTTCACCTACTGGGACATCAGTGCTCCTAGGACACAACAAAATTAAACAATTTATGCTGGGTGGAATTAGGTTTCTCGCAACGGTTGGACTTCGTGCCAGTGAGCTTGCACGGAAGGAGGAAAACTGAGTTGAAGGCTCTTCGGTTTAGGTTGTTGGGCTAAACACACGGAGTCATCGGAACCAAAATACCGTAATCGGAAGCATCCGTACCTAGTACG